CTTTTAGACCACCAGAAATACAGGAGTGCTGCAGTTCCAGAGTGCAGATGGATGTTATCATTCCAATACAAAGCATTATGATTGTTGTTCTGATAATGCAGCTCTCCTCACTGATACTATAGATTCAGAGCCCATGTCCTGTGGTCCTGCAGTAGAAACGTGGGGGTAAAAGACAGGTAAAGGAGATCCCACAGTGCCAGGCAAGCAGTATTTTGAAAAAGCCCAGGAAATTCTGAACACTTAGGAAGCATCAGCTACCTGTTTATGAACTGGTTCATTCTAAAGCAGCCTGGTGACACAATTTCTAAGCTGTACTGGAAAAAATCAGTTTCCATAGCAATTCCAGCCACTTCCTGCCCAGATGCAGCACTCTTCACATTCCTGGACACAAAACACAGCTGCTGTGGAAGACAGGCTGAGGAGGCAATGGCAAGCAGGAGAAGAAGAGACAGACAAATTCCCTCTTTTGTGGCAGTGTGACATCCAAAGTAGAAAATCAGGTTTATGATATATAGGGAGGAAGGAAAAATAAAAGGCTTCTAGACCCAACTATCTACCTCACACAAAAAGCTGTGTGAATCAGCAAAAACAAGAGCTTTTGGAGAGAATGAAGAAATTTTTTATCTCTTTTCTGATGTAGAGACTTTCATGCACTATAACACAAGCCTCTGGGAGCTCTACCAAAGGCTCCTAGTGCCACACAGCAATTGTTCCATTTTCAGCTACCAAGGCAGGAAAAAGGGGAGTCTTTGCACTTGTTCTCTAAGAGAAAAGCAAATACTCTTTAAGAGCACATATCAGCAACTTGCTTGTTTGCAGCACTTTAAAGCCACAGTAGTTTCTACATCTGCCTTAGAGAGAAGATGGCTCTTTTACATGAAACTGTTAATTCTCAGAGTGCAGCATAAAATGAATATAGAGCCTTGGCTGCCTATAGCCTACTAAAAAAATAGAACAAAACAAACACACCCACACAAAACCAAACAGAGATGAAAGCAAAATGACCTTACTACAGTCCTTCTGGTGGAAAAAAAAAAAAAAAACAAACAAACACACCACACAGCATCAACCCAACATGTGTTTGTTGTTCTCTAAAGAGTAACACAGACTGAACACTCCCTGGGCTTTGAGTGCATTATCTCTCAGTGGCTTTAAAGAACAGCTTTGCTGGCTCCTGGAAGATGCTAAACTGAATATAGTATGTCGCCTCGTTGCTTTGGATGTACTACCATTTTCATTTCAAACACAACCTTTCAACTGCTTTGGCATAATATACCAGATAATGGTTTCCTGAAGATTTGGGGACAAGAAAAAGAAGAATTAACATCAACATAGGCTCCCTTTTATTGTCAGCTTCCTTAAATCACAATCATCCAGTTGACATGCTGATTCTATTACCTGAAAACCCTTCTCACCCTGCCCAATGCTTGCACTACATTCTACACCTCAAACCCTTGCCATGAGCACATTCCCATGTTTTGTGAACACATATGTAGCATAATGAACGTGAGCCCACAGGAACAGCATAAAACATATGGAACAATGTGTGAATAAATATAGACCTGCTCACATTTTCTTGGCTTTCTACTGTAATAATACACCTACATTTCTAAGAGCATCAATGATGCTGGTCTCATTTTTAAGAAAACACAACTATGGATCAGGTTTTGCACTCAAGGCCAGGGTCAAAGAGTGACAAGGTAAATGCCTAATAGCAACTCAGTCATATAACTATGTCGATATCTTCCATAAAGACAGTTAGTCGTGCTCAAAGTTGTCAGATGCAGCTTTCCTCTGCTTCTCTCTTCCCCTCTCAGCTCATATGCAGACTTGTTTTGTCTAATTAGATCAACATTTATCTCCTGACAGGCAAGAGCTGACAATACTACAATCATCTTTCCCTCTATCCGTTTAACCAGAGATAGCTGAGATGAAGTGATTGCAGTGAAGACAAGTCCTATTTCCCCAGCTCATACTGCCATAGGCAATCAGTTTGGAGCAAAGGTTCCATCTTGAAAATGTCAAACAGAATGAAAAAAAGATAAAATCAAAAATGGTAAAGTCAGGTCCAACAATTCCTCTAGGACCAACTGCTCTCTCAGGTTCTTCCAGCATAGCTAACAGCACAGCTACAGGAATCTGCTTTGTGTGTTGAATGGTGCCATGGGGTCCTCAGCCTCAAATTAATTGTCCCCACACTCCTGCAATTCAAGAAAAACTGCTGGAGCATCAGTCCTGCTCCACCAGTCCAAAAAAAGCAGTTTGCAGTCCATGGTGGGAGCCCTCTCTCCTCTGATCCCCAACCCACTGTACATTCAAAACAACGGATTTCTTTCACAGGCACCACAGTTGGCTGTCCATCCACAAGAAAAAGAAAATACATTACTCAAATACAAATACAGCAAATGGTAACAGTGACTTCAGCCTGCAAGAGACATTTTTACATTTTTGTTTACTAGGATGACCAAATATTTTGCTTTCACCTTTCCAGTTCCTCTGAAGTTCTCCAAGATGCCATTTTGCCCCCATATTTCTTCAGGACATACATTTTTTTCCCCCCCTATCTCATGCTACAGATCTGAAAAATAACCCATGGCAAGAGAAAGACGATATCCAGGCCTGGGCCCCAGTTCTTTTGCTGTTTGTCACAACAGTCACTGACATGAACAGGAAAATATTCAGAGGAAAATAATGGCCAGGTTGACTTGGAAATATCAGACTGACCAGTGTTGATATAAAGTAGCTGTGTCCTGGAGGAAACAAGTCCAGAGGCATAGAACAGGATCAGCTGCTAAGGCAGGGGCTAAAATCACAAGAACTTCCTGAAGAGACTTATCCTACTTGGTCTACTGCAATGCAAAGAGAGAAAAATCCCCTCAACCAAACCACAATTTCAGAGATGGGTATTGGCCTTGTCTTTTAAAATAGGTTACTGTTTCTACACCGGAAATAGTCATATAGATTCAGTTCATTCTTAAATGCAGTGACATCCAGAACCACCAGTAGGATTACCGCATATATCAAAGTACTCTGTTGCACCAACTGCTCAGGAGAAGAGATCCTCAGCAAAGTATTTCTCTACTCCTCTGCCTTCAGATAGGTAGATGCAAACGTCAGTTCTATCTGCATCTCTCTACACTTATCTGACTCCTGAAACTGGCAAGAAAATTTGGGTCAGAAATATGAGGTACACTCAATGTACCCTCTACAGGGAAGAGACAAGCAGCCTCACCCTGAAAGTGCCTCAGGCCATACCAGATAGATAAATATGTGAGCAGTGTCTAGATTGCACCTTTGGAGACTGACAAATGCCCTACCAACACTCAAAGTTCAGGAACTTGCTGATCCTACCAAAGGATTCACATAGCCTTAGATGACCAGGTATATAACCTTTTATCTGAGCCACTGCTGAGATAAAGATTAATTTTAGAAAATAATTTTTGAACAGTGAGATTCCCAGTAGATGGTTGCAGAAAAGTCATTGTTACTCACAACAGTGGCAAAACCACACATACACAAAGCATAAACCAAAGCCCCTTTCTACTGCCCTATAAGCCCTAACAGAAGATGTCTTGGGTGGTGGGTGCACTTCTTTTTTTCCTCATAGATAAGCACTGTTACATTTTACATCAACATGAAATTAACACCAGCAGAGAAGACAAGTGGTAGGAGAAAACCTGAAGTGAACTGAAGCTTCTGATCTTCTGATTTCAGGGACAAATTAGCATAACACAGTATTTTGCAAGACCAGCCTCTTACAAACTGCGGAGAGGCATAAGTTCAATTATTCTTTTTTTTTTGTTTGTTTTTTTTGTTTTGTTTTTTGTTTTTTGTTTTTTGGTTTTTGTTTTTTTTTTTTTTTTTTTTTTTTTTTTTTTTGTCATATCACAATAAAAATAGGTATTTATCCAGATAGACACATTAAAAAAAACCCCAGCAGGCATTTAGCAAGACCCTCTAGAATGTTCTTAACTCTTGACCAGAGTGTACCAGGAAGGCCTACAAGCATCAGTGAATCTCACCTATGCAGGAAATAAATTATAGCATTGCACCTTCTCCTCCTCTGAGCTTAAAAGGACCCTCTCAAAGCAGGAGCCACACAAGGGAGGAGTGAAACATACTGAAAGCCATGGGAACACCAGAGGTCTGGCAGTTCTCAAACTGACAGAGTAGAAGCTCACTATCACCTTTCAAGGTTCTCAATCAGAACCAGTATTGCCTCAACCACTGCCACCTCCAAGGAGATTTAACTGCTTCCACCAAAACAGAGCTGCTCAGGATATTCATCAGTCCCCACAACTATGTAGTAACAAGGACAGTCACAGTGGTATCCTTCCTTGTGAAATTCTACTTCATGCATTTTATCAGTGAAAACCCTTTTCCATCTCCAAGATGACAAAGAGACAAGATTTAAGGTCAGCCAATTCATCCCAAGGCAATTCCATCCCTGTCAGATCTTGTCACTTCAGCAAGCATTACAAGTTGGTGACCACTGGCTACAATTATCACTGAGGGAGGGCTAAGCTCCTTCCTTGTGCCTTAAAGGGTGCAGCAATTCTCTTTCAAGATCTCCAAAGGAGAGTGATGCCACACTCACACAGGAGCTGCTGGCAGTGGGCATATTCTACAATAAAAGCCAGCAATGAATTCTCCTGGAAGCAGGAAACTCCGCAGCAATGGCATAAGAATGTGCTCACGTACAGAGCATTCCACTGAATTAAAAAACAGGGCATTGATTTTGTTATTCATTTTTGTATTTAACTCAGTATTAATCTCTGCATACAAATGCCTTTTCCCCACTGCCTCAGCAGAATTTCCAGTCAGCAGCAGAAACCGAGATGTAGATCCTAAGAACAAATCGATCTGTCTGCTACAAAGACAAACTGTATGTGAGATGAGAGCTCTGAGCAGGCTGTCACTCAAAGCCTCTGCTCTCATTTATCAGGAAGCACCTCCCACCTGCACACGAGGAGAAGGTGAAGAAAAGCAGCAACACTTACGCAAGGCGTGCCACTCATCCTGGCGGATTGTCTTGGTGATGTTGTACGTAAGGTTCTTGGGGATGGTGGCTGAGGAGTAGTGGTACTTGATGTACGAGCACCGCTCAATTGCTCCTGGGAAAGGCAAAATGCAGAAAAGTGTGGTTAAATGAATGTAACATGTCCTGCCAGCTATAGGCAAGATGTGTTTGACAACCAAAAGTGAAGCCTAGGAGCAAAGCAATCCCTACTGTTCCTGCCCACTGTGACAACCAGCACGCTCTCTGGCCCATGACATGTAAGCTCAGATCCAAACTTATGATACAGGAAGTTTATCTTTCACACATTCCAGGGACCTTCCAGACTGGCTCTGGAGTAGCTGCTAGTGCCTGCTTTCACCATGAGATCTTTGTGTGGCAAATTCTTCCCTGAACTGTGAGCTAGCAACTGCCATGCAGTTAATGTATAGAAGCTATAAATTAATGTCTTAACTTTCTGTGCAGTCATGGTCATGACTCAATGCCCATACTTCAGGAAATACACAAAGCAAATACCTTTGATCTTTCCTTAAATAAAAAAGCAACACAGAAAAATTATACGTATAGATAGCAAACAGCTTCCTAACCCTTTCCACCCCACAGCAGGGGGACACATTACACTGTCTCCTGAATGTACCTAGACACTTTTACAGCAGGTTCAGAGACAGAATTCATTGGCATCCCTGAACAACGAGGCTCAGATGGCAATATCAGTGGCTGAAATGGGCAAGTTTTTTTCCCCTCTGTGTTTTCCTCAGGATTTCACTATGTTCCATGGAAAAAAGCACCATGTGCTGCTTCTGATATGTTCTGGTCACATAATTACATTTCCTTTTACAAATACTTTCCTTCCTGTACAATAATTGCCCCTCCAGGACCTGATCTCCTGATATCTCTCTGCATAGTTTGTGTCCCTAGAAGAAAGAGTCTGGTGTAGCCTGATGCCTTCCATGAATTATAGCCTAGCCAAATTTCACATCTGATCAGACACCTGTAACTGTGTAACTGTTCTTGTATTGATGAAAGCCAGTCAGGTTTTCTACATTGCTTTTGCCAGCATTCTCAGCTAACATTGGCTTTATTAGACCTTCTCATTAAGCTGTCAGAGTCAAAACTCATGGAAGCCATTTTCCCACTAACATTACGTTATTTTGGCTCAGGCTTTTATAACTACATAGGTATCCTTAATGTGGTTGGCCATGCTGTTTGTTACTAGCTACCACTAGTCAGAGAAGCAGCTATGCTGGAAATGCTTTTATGTATTAAAAATACATTAAGATGAGCACTCAATAGAATAAATTAAATGAAGCAATGAATTATATAAATAATAAAGAGCACTATACACAAAGAGGCAGGTAGAGGACTCTTACTGCCAGCCCAAACTGAAAAGGCAGACCCATTAGCCTTATATCTACAGCTCCACAAGGTAAAAAATGCTTTTAAACCACTACAAATACAGGTTTCTACTAAGGGTTGTAAGATACTACTTGGCATGAACTTAGATTATAGACCATGAATTCACAGCATGAAAAAAAACCATGAAACAAGTTATTATTTACATCACAGCCTACCAGCATCTTCCAGAGTTAGTGCAGTATAAACATTTGAGATCCTCATTGTTGGCTTCTTGTAAGTATTCTTCACATTCTGCCTTTGACAGCAATTAGATTAGACAAAGCCAAATATTATAGGGGGAAAAGGCAAAATATTTACATATGTATCCGCCTGCCCTGACAGCGTGATGGGCTTCTGTGTGAGTCTGCACCATCTGGGCACCAAATGTACACCCAGAATTAAAGTTTCAAACTAAGAATAGTATTTAAATAAAAAGACAGCTAGTGTGCAAAGAGCTTTAAAAAAAATCCCCAAATCACAACCTTGCCTTCTTATAGGTTTTCCTATCCCTTTTTACTAGGTTGATTTTATAGATTAGAAGCATCAGCAAGAAAACAACAAATGCTTATTTGTCAGAAATTAATCTTTAAGTTATCAGATACCTGCCCAAACAAGAGATTTATATAGAATAGTAGAAAGGGACACACAGCCAAGATACAAAGTAAAAGCTTACAGAAGGAATGGAGAAAAACTCCTGTTCTATTTGCGGCTTTTCTGGAACCAAAAAGGCTAATTTCTAGCAAGGTCCATCAGATTTCTAATTCTGCAAAGATTTTTGGTGGTAATGCAGCAAGCTGATCAATATCACTTTTATCACCAAAGCCTAAAGCAGAAAGAGATTATTGGCTGAATTCAGTTCATCATTTGACCATTTCCATAATTTTGGGATTATGCTTACTTCCCCATGGCTCTAATGGGACTTAAGCACACAAAAATAGTTTTGGGACCACTATCAACCAGGGTGGGCAAAGAGGGCATGGTACAGCACTTAGCATGGCAGTTCTCAGAGGGCACTGAAGCCCTGCCAGCTCTACCAGGGAGCAATGGTGTCCACTCAGCAGAGGAAGACAGTATCTTACTGAGAAACTCGAGATTTTCATGGCCCAAAATGACAATACTTGCAATTGCTTGGCATTTAAACATGAACCACTTATTTAAACCCACTCTCACAAGTGTAGGAGAATGACTATGCTGAGTCAATGCAACTACATCAGCATATACCTAACTAGAGGTGACAATCAGTTTTGAACTTAAGAAAAAGCTCTTCAATTGCTTGGACTTGGCACTAAAAATTAGGAAAAGAGTGAATTTATAGGCAGTGATGAGTTCATACTTCTGATGTTTCCCTAGTTGTTTTACAGAGAAGAGAACAATGTTCAAGATGCCCAAAGATCCAAGTCCTGGAGGTTCCTATGAGAGCAAAATCATCAACAGCAGCAAGAATCAGAACTACTCTTCTGCTGGAAAGCCTTCTCAGAAAAATGCTACAAAATCCTTACCTTCAGAAGAATTACTAGCTATGCTCACTCCAGTCTTTGAAATAGGAAGCAAAGCAAGCTTTCCCTTCCATACACTCAATAGGGTAACTGCAATTTTTGGAGCATTTCCAGCCTTCAGCACAAACCTAGACCAAATGCAACTGCAGCTTTGCTCTGCACTTTGCCCCAATAACTGGGAATGGTATTTATAGAGCAAAGAAGTGAGTGGGGGTCTTTTTAGCTGTAAGCCACCATTGCAAGAGTTATAGCTGGCCACAAGAAACACAAAAACGACCACAAAGTTGCTCCAGGGACAGATGCAATGTATCCTATATTTCTCTGACCAAAAGGAAATGCTTGCTGAAAATCCTAAGGAAAAGTAGCTGACATCTTCCAAGAGAGTGCTAAGAAAAGGATCAGCAGAAGGATACAGCTAGAACCATGCAGGGCAAACCTCTGCCATGCCATCAACACAAGCACAGATGCTCAGGGGATTCGGCAGCTGTCAACTGTGGCTGGCAACCCCCTGTTCCTGCAAAGGTCGGATGACAAACAAACTGGAGATAAGGAAACTAGAGATAGCTTCACCCTGAGCAGCAAAGCATTCACAGCATCAAACATGCACCTCTTCTTACTGACTCACTTAGCTGCTCAGTTTCCTTCCCATATCTGCTGATCATTGCTCCATACTATCACCTTAGCACATAATACTTCCCCTTCTCTCCATTACAAGACAAACTTTTAACCTAGGCCACAGGAGAAATACCACCTGAAAACACTGATGTTTCTCTATTCAATTTTCAGAACCTTACCAACTAACATCCTGATGTTAATTCAGCTGCTAGAGAAACTCATCTACCACTACATTACTGGAGCTGTAAACACCATCCCAGCAGAGGCTTCAAACTGTTTGGTAATGCAGGGAATGACTGAACCATTATCCCACTCTAAACAGAAGAGGGTTGAGATCAATTAAGGTCATAATGCTGGTGTCCAGACTGTGTTTGTCTGGTAGGTCAACACAAAACTTTTTCAGAACTTTTCGACCAGTATTTCTTCCTCACCATTGTGGCCCACCACTCCCCTAAATATAATATTTAAACTCTTTCAAACTGCTCCAAGCAACAGTTTTTAACACGGTTAATTTCAAAAATAGAATGGAAATTCAAAATGCCACCAAGTTATTGGTTATTTCTGTCCTAAATTTTGGATCTCAGAAGAACCCAGAGGCATTTGCCCTGGTCAGTTTGCCTTCTGCAAAGGTGGTTGCCGAGTTTCATGAATTTACAGTGCCAGTGTGATCATATGGTTTAGTATTCTGCATAATACAGACCAACCCATCTAAGAGCTGGTAACGGAAAGCAGTCCTTGGCATCTTTCATCGAACTGGTAACCTGTGAGAGCAGTTGGGTGACAGAAATATCACGTTAGATTAAGCCCAAGATGGCACAGAGTTACTTGCACGGGTTATTTGAGTACTCCTCTCCTGTCTTGAGGACTAGAATATTTCACACTTCTCCCCTGCCTCAGCTCTCAGGGCTGAAGATTGTGGAACCATCCTTAAAGGTTCAACTACAGATTAACCCAATGCCTGTGAATAAGTTACCTTCAGTAGCTAGAGGACTTCCAGATACAGATAAAAATGTCTCCCATGATAAGATTCTTTGCAGCAGTCCCTGGGTTAGAGCAATCAGGAATTTCAAATGCAGGGAGCCAGCAGCTCACTCACTCTGGATGAGCTGGACTGTAGCCATTCCAGACTCCACAGGGTAGGACTGAGAGTCACCTTGCATTCTGTAACATGCAGAGATCTGAACCAGGGGGTACCCATTCTTCTCTTATAGTATGCACATTGGTTTCTAAGAAGGATCCAGCTGTAAAACTAGTATTTGTTTTACTACATTTCCTGTCAAAGCTTTTGATATTATGAGCTTCCCTGAAAAGACTGGTGTGGATATTCTGAGCCCCAGGCAGCTTTTCCTTCTTCTGTGTTGCAGATACCCCTGGATGAACTGTTTGTAGCAAAAAATTCCACAAAATGCACCCTTTGTTCTAGTTCTAATTTTCTCAAATCTATTTGAGAATTACTACACAAACATTTCCTAGCAAAAGAAATCTTAGTCTCTGGCTTGCAAACTGCACTCACTACATATATTTGCTCTTCATTATGAGAAACTGCCTTCAGTATGAAAGATTGCCTTAATTCCATGGTTTGGTTACTCAT